ATTCGATTTAGCGCAATTTACTCTGACGCAAGCCTTGCTATCAGAATACAGTGATTGGATGGTCCTTAACAACCGGCCATCTATCCAGTATGCTCGAAGGCATGACAGACTGTTGCGTGAGATCCTGTCATAGGCCTTTTCTAGATCAGTAAAACACATGTACACCGGACGGGCATACTCCCACGATTTCTCGACAGTGGCGCAGGTAAGTATGTTGTTAGAGGTGCTTCGACCGGACCTGAAGTCACACTGCTCTCGTATCTTGGAGTCAGTTATTCCGCGGCACCTACTTTCTAGGACTTTTGCATAGACTTTACCTGGTAGGCTCAATAACGTAATACCCCTATAGTTAAAGCACTCCTTGTGGTCTTCCTTCTTGATCAGGGGTAAAATAACTCCTGTTCTCCGGTCCGTTGGTCCTTCCCGTAGTCATCGCAGTTACACAGAAACACGTACGCCAGTACATGCTTTGTTCTCCTAATGCCTTTAGCATTTTAGGGTAGATTTCATCAGTTCCAGCAGCCTTTCCATTTTTCAAGCTTTTCACTGCTTGTGTAATTTCATCTACAGCCATAGTAATATCCGTTGCCGACCCATATATCAAAATATGCCTCAATATCAGTAATTGCTTCGTATTTTCATTCCTGTGCGAAATTAATTCCATGCCCACGTCTTTATTCATGCGTATGTTTTCTGTGAAGACAGATCGAGCATCATCCGACACATGAGAATGTTTTATGATTAATTCTGAACATGAGGTATTTTCCTGTGAAAGCTTTTCGAATTTTGAATTGAATTTCCGTATGTCATGCAAATGATTCCAGAACGAAGTGCGATATCGATACTGCCTGGCCAGTCGACTGGCCGAAGACCCCTGGGGATGGTCAAGAATAACCCTGAGCAAGTTGCTCGAAGGACTCTGCTTTAGTTTCATGTTGTCTTTTGCTGAACCTGAAACGCTAGCACAGGATAGGAAACGGCTGAAGACACTGTCTGACGCATCTGCCTCCTCAACCCCAAAGGATAAGCGGTCATCAAAACTAACTGACTGATTTTCATATAAAAACTCATTTTTGTATTTCGTACAAAATCGCATTTTGTAATTTTGAATTTTCTTTAGCTTATTTCATTAGATCATTAACCACCTAAAATACCACAATCACGATATTCTACAAAGGTTAAGGAGTTGTAGCATTCGTTTAAGTGTGAAAACTTTTGTCGATTTTGCGCGAAGAATGATGGAAGAGAACCACCCTTTCCCAATTCTATAGTTAGCAAGATGAAGAAGTGGGTACTCTCTTTATTTAGTCAATCGATGTGCGGTTGATGAAACCGAAACACTCGTTAATTATGTACAGAGTATACGTAAATCTTTCTGTCATTAACTATGGAATGAAAAAGCAATGTCTTCTTGAGTCGCTTTTGTATTAGAGGAAAAATTTACATTAAAAGATTAAAAGTGATCGATTATATTCCTCTGTGCTCTCGTGTTATGAGTGTAGAGCAGAAAGATATGTAAAAAGCATGTCAGTGGTGTAGTCCACCATAAGTGCACAAAATAAAATATCTAATGATCGTTTTCGGCAGTTACAAAACACTTTGGACAGAATTTCATGAAACGATATAAGAACTGGAAACCTTAGTACAGGTGTGATTACAAAACAAGGAGTTAACAAAATGTAAGAAGGATCACTTCATCATCATCAGCCTTTGTGGATCCACTGCTGGATAAATGTCTCCAAATGCGTAATTAAATTATCGTTTCTGCTGTTTTCTTTCATTTTGATCCATGTAATTTTTCAACTCATCGTGCTATCAATCTGAAGGTCTTTTTACTGACGGTTTAGTAAAAACTTTGTTTTTACTGGGTTGGATCTAAATCCAATGCCAGTCTGGTCCAGCGGTATGTCTTGCTCATTGCCGCTTTAACTTCTTCATTGGTCAGTGACATAGCAGATTCCTGCTTCTGCTCTTGTCTATTCGTTCGGCTTTCTGTTGTTTCTTTTTATTCCCAACATATACCTTTTCATGCTGTGTTGCTTAGTCTGGTTATGGCTACGAAAAAACCGTGTACATTTTGTCTTTAATTATGGCACAGGAAAGTAATATTATAGTAATGTTTATGCTGTTATGGCCTATTATTATTGAAACTGTATGTTTACATTAATCACTGCTTTTCGTAAGGGCCAGTGTTGTTTGGCTCTAGGATTATCATTGATATTAGGACGTCGGAGCCCATGTGCCTATGAATATCAAGCTTGGGATATTTTTTCAAT